GATACAAAACGGCTAGAACCGTCCAAGATACTGAAAAACCAGGTTCGGTAAGGCAAAAAACACCGACGAGCCGCGCTAGCTACGAAAGTGTACTAAGTAAAGCTATAGCGGAAGATTTAAAAACTATGTAAGACAATCAAGTCCTGCGCGCTTGGTATCAGGCGTTTCGAATGGAAAAGTTACACTCTATTAATGGTACATGCTAAGAAGAAATATGCTCTGAAAAAGATAACTTTGCTACAGGCACTTGGAAAAACGTAAGCAGGATGTGGTTTACAAGTAGGATTTTTGAGAGCGATGAAGCTACGCTCAAATAAACGGTACAATCTAGTTGACATAATTTTATTTACAGGGCATAGCTTGGCTATTGATAAACAAACAAAAATCGCCGTTAGTTTCTGAATAAGCCGATAATAAGAAGTTGCATGCCATTATTTTAAAGGGTATCTGATTGTTTTCTATCTTTGTTCAGTGCGGATGATGGACTCCATTAGTAAACATGAATAAAATATTCAATGAAGTTGCTGGTGTGTTCATGAAAATGAAATCCTGACGCCTTTCATACGAATCGTTCCGCGGGCTTTATTCTAAAAATCTATTGCCGCTCAAGCAAGATGGTGTTCGCATCTTTTTCCCGCTTAATCTCGAATGAATTGGACTATTCTATTACTGCATTCCGTCCTGGCATTGTTCTACATTGACCAGTTCGTCGTCACACAAATGCATTCATCCGTAAGCGTCAGATGCTGGCAGGAAGAGATAGGCGCACGTAGTATAGGGAAATCGCACTCATCACGCCAGAGTTTTTCACGTGCGTGCATGAACGTATTTATACAAAGCAAATGATATGACTCCGTTTGATTTTACCTGCTATACGCAGGGGACCTAGATGTTCGTTTCGACGCGTACTAGGACATAAATAAGAAGCTTCATCTTGTAAATTCTGCTATATGTTGAATAGTAATTATTGCTATGTTATAATCTGAGGGAGCCTGTACGCAGAAGAAGCATGCGCGGTTCAACTGATGTTGAGTTGAACTTATTATAGAAATATAAAACTGTCCGCAGCATAATTCAAAAAGAAATCAAAAAAATAAATTGCAAAACAATGCAACTTGTCCACTACTTTACTATGCCCTGGGATTAGGGTGAATTTTTTTTCCACGGACACAATTTTAGGGTGAATGTCCGGCGTATGTATACGAAGTTCCATATAAGCACACCATGCCAGTATTCTCTTAGGACTGTTAGGTTAACGACCAACGGCAGAAGGAGGAGGAGAAAGCAGTACGCATGCATTGAGTTTGTACCCCTGAAGGCCAAACGAATCGGTAATCAACAAAGTAGCAATAAGAGCTTAAGGCATAC